GCCACGCGCTCCTAATCTTCGCATCAGATGACTAACCGGTTCGGACAATAGACTAGTGCCTGAAAGAGAAGGAGAGTGAGATGGACTCTGGAGACTTCATCGCCACGACAGTTAGCCTACACTCTTTTGCCATCACTATGCATTAAGTAATACGCTAGTGACAGCTCCTGAGTTAGCCTTGCTGTGGGGCACTGCGGTGGACGCTGTCACTCGTGACGGTTGAACAGTCGCATCCCAATTGCCAAAAAATGAATCCAGATGTCTGGCAGACTCGGTATATTGATTTCAAAATGCAACCGCCTCGAAGTGAATCGGACTTTATGAAGGAATTCCATCAGGTGGAATACGCATGCCACTGTCCTTGCTTACTCAAGCCTCCAATAGGAGTAATTAATTTCCCGAGGTAACTGGGGAGACAAAGGAGAAAAGGCCTAATATGCACTGACCTCAAAATGTATCACCATCTCGATTACTCTCGCGAACTTTGTCGCTGCGGGTTCCAAGCGTTGAACTGCTGGCTCCTGATGCAGCCTAATCGATGCTGGGGATGGGGCATTTTCAGATAAATAGAACGATGCCTGTGATTCCTGCAGAAAAGGGGACTCCCGAGGGCCGTTAGATGGCTGGTCATCAACATGAGAAAGAGAGTCAACGAGTCGACTTCTTCGAGTTCTTGGGAGCGGAGCGGCTATAAGCAAGAGGGGGGAGCAAGATGTGGTGACCAAGCAGCAACTAGCAGTTTAATTTGATGTATAAATAAAGAGAGAACAGAAGACAATGACTAAAATGATATGTTTCAAGGTGCCGGCAAAAGTCATATGAAACAGCCAAAAGGGCCAAGACCTGCTTTGGGGAGAATTAAATAGATTAGACTGCTTAGTATTCTGAGCAAATTCTGTCTTACCAACTATTGTTCTAAAGACAAGCGTAGACAGCAGAATTAATTGAAGTAAACGAACTTCGCGACGGTTTTTCAACTACATCCCGTCGTTTCATGATTCATATAACGGAGAATATACGAGTTCCAGGCAGCAGTTCAGATGAAGAAGATGCGATCACTGGAACAAGGACTTTATTTTCCTGACGTTT